TCATCAGGGTTTGGGTTCCTACTGTAATGCAAATAGATCTGTGCTCACTACGCTTTCACATAGCATGCTTTTGCATCAGAACACCCTGTTTCACCAAAAAATTTCCCCTTATTACCGCGGCTCCCAGTATGTGGTGATTTTCATAGCCTCAGAATGATGGGCATAATGTTACCCATGGTACAGCTGCTACCAAGTTCTTGGTTGCTTCAGGAATTTTTATATTTTATTAGTGCAGGGACTGAATTTATAGTTACCTGCAGTATATAATTACAAGCGCACATTATCAATATTATCAGCTTGATGCTTGAGTTTAGTTTTCCATGAATACAAACCCTGCAGTTTTTGCATTAATTACAGAGGGAATTAATGAGCCCTTAGACAAGTTTTCACCTATGAGTAAAGAGTTTGGAACCAGCGGTGCCTGTAATGACTGGTCTCCAGACGCTGGGGCAATGCCTGCAGCTCTGACCTCGGCCCTGGCCTCAAATTCTCTGGCTGAGGATAGAGGCTGCGCACCCCCTCCTTGGGAGCCTCCTGTTTCTGGTCTGTCACATAGCAGATGCTGTCATTTCTAGTAAAAATGATACTGTTCGCCCGGTTGGTGTCGCTCAGTGGTTGAGTGTCAACCTATGAACAAGGAGGTCACAGTTCGATTCCTGGTCAGAGCACATGCCCGGGTTGTGGACTCAATCCCCAGTGTGGGGTGTGCAGGAGGTAGCAGATCAATGATTCTCATCATTGATGTTTCTATATATATCTCTCTCTCTCCCTTCCTCTCTGAAATGAATAATAATAATAATAATAATAATGATCAAAACAAATGAACTAAGAAAACACAGTGAACATTAAAAAATGATACTTTTCTTATTGTTTTTAAAACCATCTTTCACAAGTAAATGGTAAACACGAGTGGGTGAAATCATGCCCAGCTCCAGGCAGAGTCTCCTTCCCTCCCTTTTTTCACTATTCCAAATATTAACAATTGTTTGGATTCCAGAAATGTCTACTATGTGTCAGGCCCTGTTAGCACTCAACACATATTATCTTTAATCTTCCTGGCCGCCCTACTAAGTTGTGGCGATCACATCCGCTTTATGAATAGGGAACGAAAGAAAACTAGAGAGGTAAAGTCACTTGTGAGAAGTCATCCATCCATTCATCCATCCCTTTATTCAATCATTCACTTAAGGATGATGTGCCAGGCAGTAATGTGCTAAATTAAACGCAGTTGGTCACAATGATGAGTAATAACAGAGT